AGCGGTAACTTGGGAACAAGAGTATGGCTTCATCTGTTTTTACAGTAGGGAAGGTGACTTATCACTTTCTTTCATTTTGCTTTTGCTTTTTCTTCTAACTTTCAGCGCTTGAAGAAACCTCAACTCTCCTGCCCGACCAACCATTTGGATTAAGTCATTGGCTTTTCTAATCACGGAAGTGACGAGACTGCGCTCCGTAATTCGTAGCAGCAATTCGCTTCGAGTTGGCTGAGCTGGCGCTCGAAAATCACGATGCCCAGCCAGAACTATGGATTTTGAAACGCCACGAGAAAATGCCGTGCTATTGGGAGCAGTCTTGTCTAGTACTACAGTAGACTAACTGGTTGGGGGCGTACGATGTACGAATACGAAATCTAGTTTGAAAATTACACAACGCTAGGCGGCCCGACTCCGCCTTTCCCAGAGGGGGAGTCTACACCGGTTCCACCAACATCGTCCTTTTGTCTTCTTTCGGGATATTTTTATTTCCTCAATTTATCCAGCCTTGGCATTGCTCTCGGACTCCCAAGACCTGCAACTAGCTTCTTAGGTCATTCATTGGAGGCAAGCAACAAAAGAAAAGTCAAAAACAGGAAGTGGTGGGATTTCTACATCATTTCTGGCAGACGATCTTGATGATTGGAAGACGCGAGATAGATCATAACGTCAGCTGGACTGAGTTGGTAGGTTGAGTCAATACAAAACAATTTAATCATCATCTACTATTCCAAACTAGTATTAACTAAGAAAATAACACATCATTCAACACATCATGACTTCATTAGAACAGACCATAGCGGAATATCCCCTCCCGGCAACACCATCAGGCTCATGCTCATGCCGCCATCAAATCGACAAACTCGCTCCACTGGTTCCCAAAGCTGGCATAGTAGTTGATACTGAGATGAGTGATGAAAAGCTCATCCGCCACCTTGCGGGCCTCCTTCACTAGTTCGCGCAGCTTCGATCCCTCCACGGTGTCGGGTACTGAGTGGATCACGGCACAGAGCTGCGAGCGATTGCTGTCCGGGATCGCCGTGAACAGGTTAGCTCCGCTGCGCGCCTCAAAGGTGTTGTAGGTTTCTTCAAATACGACAGTTGAGTCGGCCGAAGATAAATACCGAGAGTCTGGGATAGCGCCAGGGTTGTGGACGACCTGGGTGACAGGGTTAGCTTCAGGGATTCGCTTCGAAAGACCAGAAAGGGAAACAAAGGGCTTTCAATAGTAAAAATGGAGTAACTTTGGGGAGATTTTTTATTTTCTCCTTTTTTTTTAACCTCCGGTCCAAATAGGAATCAATGGTTGACATGCGTGGTTCCGGGAATAGAACCACGCGTGAACCAGGGTAGGGATAGTGGGGGGATGGGATGGGGGTCGTGAATCAAGCGGTCATGCAAGGGGAATGAGGCGCAAGTAAATTCAAAAATTCGTTCGGGCAAAAGAACTAGAATGGAGAAGGGAGAATTTGAAAAAAGAAACTCACAAATGGGTCCGAACCAAGCCCTTTCAGACCCCTGACAAGGTCCGTCATATTTTGCAGGTAAGCCAATGAATGGGCACTGTATGCCTGGGGAGTCTCATCGAAGAATATACCCCGAACAGCTAGGTCCGGGTTTGAGGAATTCGTCGGCCACGCCGCGTAAGTTTCAATGTCCTTTTGGACCAGAGAAATGTTACGCTGGGCATATGTAGTGTGGACGTACCCCAGAAGACGAACATTGGCGTGAGAAGCGAGCTTTGGAATTTCACGAGTGTAATTCGCATCCGGCAGCGAGTTGGGCCCTGGTCCGTTTCCTGGGTTGATTACGACAGTAAAATTGACGTCTGGATGGGTAGAGATCCTGTATGGTTTCTGGAATCAGCATCTTTGGGGGCTTTTTTTTTGTATTTTACTGGGATTTCTTTTTCAAATGCTATGTTGGGAGAGTGAGTATGGCATGGTGGGGATGCTCTCTGATGTGGTCGCCCAGACCAGACGGCATGATATTATTCATGTCGCAACTTGTATGTGGCGGCCTATACCAGTGGCTTGGGATCGAATTGGGCTTGGGGACCGGGGAAGGGATCGGGGAGGGGTCTGCATCGGGCTGAATTGAAAGAGTGAAACATACACATCTTCTAGCGGAGACCATGCCCCGGGGGCAGGGTACACATAAAGTGGTACGAAAACTTTGGACTTTGGACCCATGCTGTTGTTGTGTTTCTTGCGAAGAGTGGTGACGACGACAGGTGGGATGACGGCGGCAAGAATCACGATGAGAACGATAAGGCCTGCAATAATTCGAGATCGTCTCGATTTAAGACAGCCGCGCGAACTCACGTGCTTCTCTGTGTCTGTGGTAGACATGTTGGTGGACATGGGTAGAAAAGGGTGGAACCAAAAAAAGAAGGGAGGGAACCAAGTTGAAAAGGAAATGTAAAGTGGATTCGAAGGGGACCAGAATTGCTATTGTTCCATATAAAAAACCGCGAAGTGAAACATAGGTATTGGCAGTTCGGAAAAATCGAAAGTCGACCAGGCCCAGCCCTGCCCCGTTTACTGCGTCGCCCCAAATCGACCGAAGCGGGTCTCAACCATGAGGTGCAGGATCTTAGATCAGAGCTATGCAAGTTTTGGGCCCTGCGCCATCCACTGGAGGCGCTTAGGGCCTGGAGAAAAGAAAAGAAAAAAAGGGACGGAAACACAAGGTCCAGCCGCATCACCGGCCCACCACGGGCATCCTGCCCGACTCTTCTTTGGTTGCACTCACTTTTGCCCCTTCTGTTCGTTTTTTATGTCGGCTTATGCGTCATCAATTGAGTATTCTCATGGTCCATTTTTGCCGGTGAGAGGAGGTTGCTGATTCATCGTTCATTCGGTTGTCAAAACATGCCACAATTGGCATAATCGAAGCTAAACGAGGACTGAAGGCGGCCAGGCCGCATGGGGTCTCCGTGAAGTGTATAAATCAAGCGTAGCGGCCTGTGGGTTCCGGCGGATCTCATTCACTGTCTCATAAAGCATATAAAGTCCTCTTTCTTTCTCAGTGTGGTAGAGAATCTGTCACAAAGACGTCGACATCAGTTGTTTGTCAACACAACTCCACCATCACCACACTCCCCACTTCTTCATAATATTTAATCACTGCCAATCATGGATAGTCGTCGGAGGTCAGATGCGAGCACTCCTGTGGAGACTGACTCGCCTGCCTCAGTGGACACACCGGCCACTGAGTCGTCTGTGCTTTTCGACAATCTCGATGAGCTTCTGCAAAGATTGCCATCAGAGAACCAACATATCCTCGTCACCGGTGGTTTGGGTTTCATTGGAAGCCATACCACCCTGGAGTTGCTCAAGGCCAACTATAACGTCATTGTCATTGACAATCTCAGCAACGCCTTCAAGGTAGTCTTCGACCGCATCAGTGACCTTGCTCAAAAGTTCCACGACGAAAATGGAACCAAAATGCCATCTTTGAGGCTACACCAACACGATTATAGAGATACTGCATCTCTCCGACCTCTGCTGGAGGAATACCAACTCCCATCACGATGGGGAAGCCCCAAATCTAAGATCGCGGGTGTGATCCATTTTGCGGCTTATAAGGCCGTCGAAGAAAGTATTCGACACCCGTTGAAGTACTATGCCAACAATGTCGGCGGTCTGATCGACTTCGCAGCAATTCTTGGCGAATTTGGCATCAAGACTTTCATCTTCTCTTCTTCGGCAACTGTGTACGGCACTCTCGCAACTTCGGGCCTCCCGTTGAAGGAGGAGCTTTGCGTACACAAGCAAGAAGAGTACACCGACGACGCTGGAGTTGTGCAAACAGCCCAGCCCGGATCCACGGGTATCACGAATCCTTATGGACGCACAAAATGGATCTGCGAAAGTATTCTTGCCGATCTTGCAGAGTCTGATTCCGAATGGACCATCGTCGCGCTTCGATACTTCAACCCAGTCGGATGTGATTCTTCCGGTGTTCTGGGCGAGGACCCGAGACAGGCTCCGACCAATCTGCTCCCTGTTGTCACCAAGGTGATGACTGGTGAGTATACTCAGTTGCAGATGTTCGGAAGCGACTGGGATACTGTGGACGGCACTGCAGTCCGAGACTTCATCCATGTCACTGACCTGGCTCGTGGTCACATTGCAGCTCTCAGCACTGCGAATGAAGGGAGGTTGATTGAGAACTTCCGCACATTCAACCTCGGCACAGGATGTGGAAATTCTGTGTTGGATGTGGTCACTACCATGGAGGCTGTTTCTTCCAAGCCCATCGCTCGGAAAGAAGCCGATCGTCGTCCCGGTGACGTTGGCTACTGCGTCGCAGTCGCAGACCGATCCCGGGAAGAGCTCAAGTGGAAGACGGAGAAGTCTTTGAAAAATGCTTGCGAAGATATTTGCAACTTCTTGCATGTTAGCGGACTGACCCCGCAACAATCCTCTTGATTCAATATTTTGTCTTGAATATTTCTTTTTTCTTTTGTCACGAACATTTGCATATGACGATAAGCCTGCTGTTGGCACACTCCTGTGAGACTGGCTGTGCCTGAAAGATTTCCTGTTTTTTTTTTTTTTTTTTTTTTTTCTCTTTCGGAAGTTTGACGATATCGGATATTTGATTAATAATGGCTGGAGATGGTCCTGTGAGCGACGTTTGTTGAGCATCTTGTTCTTTTATATTTTGTTGATTCTCATGTATGTACTTCGATTTCTGGATACATCTGACCGAAAAGCAAGCATTTCATTACCAGAAACCATGAGAGTACCGTAGGCGGTCATGCATATTTCGATATCAATGAGAACAACCAGGTTCCGATGACGCTGGTTCCAAACCTGGCTGGAGGGTCAACGTTGAGGCTGACAGCCGAATTTGAGATGTCAATCTGCACGTGAGTGATATTTGTCACGTGATGGTTCACGCGCCAGCTTCGACCGCCGAGCCGAGCTTCCTCTGTTGTCTTGATCTACACAAAGATCGACCCCCAATCATTCCAGGGTGGAAAAGGACTGGAAATGTCCTGCTCAGATACAGATAGTTTCCTCTATCTACACGCTGAGCTCCTGCCTAATATCCGCCAAATCACCCTATATGTTTCCCTCCCCCAAACCAGTGTACTAAATAACGTCCGACCGACCGTACAGCTATCAGAATCCTGCAAGGCAGTCACAGTCTCACTCTCCGAGCCTTTCCAAGATGTCTCAGAGACGATCAAGCTTCCGGCGCGCGTCAACGGCGCGTCTCGCCGAGCATTGAACACGAACATCAGCCCAACAATCATGCACAACCCCTCCCACTTCAAGGGTACCAGCCACGACTACTCTTTTAGGATGCAGATCGATGCCAAGGACCCGGCTCTCGTACCTCGCGACGAAATTATGGATGATTACGTACCCTGGACAGCAGCAGACATGTCCTGCTCGACCCGTATTCGTTGCCGAAAGTGTGGCGCGACCTTCCTCGATCCAGCAATCTCCGCAAATATACCGGAAGAAGAAGGAACTGCGAATCCGGCTAAATGGGCATGGAAAGATTTACCAAGTGGGAATTGGGCGGAGATGATGGACTTCTGGCACTGCCACAAGCCTGACCCCCACGAGGACGATCCAAAGTCCGAAGCCACCGCGGCTCTCAAGCTTGAGGAGCAAAGTGCCCAGGTTAAGGGATACGGGGCAGCTAGTCGTGTTGAAGCGATTCCTGCTACTGTCTTGATCGATGTGGCTACTTTCCTACTGGCCGAGTCCGACTGTGTAGGGTTGAAAAAGGTGAGATCACCCAAGATATCATATTATTTTCAGAAATTGAAATCGCTTCATACTTTGAAATCCCACTTTCCTTTTCATCCGGGCAACCAGAAGGAGACCATTTCGTGCCCATGGGGTGGCTTCCGATACTATTGCCCTAGAGGGATGTCTGTGCATATCGCGTTCAGTCAGATGGCAGCCATTTCGGCATTTGAGTCTACGGCTTTGGAAGGCAGATATCCTCTCTCGCTAGATGGATTTCGCCAACCTTTGCTGACTGTCTTGGAAGTTGTTGTGGCTGCTGTCTCAGTTCGTTTTCTAAGCACTTTCTTCGTTGCTAATGGCGGTCTGGGTTCTTTGAATCCTTCCCAGAACAGTGGGGCCGCCATCGCTTTCGAGGAGGCACATAAAACACCATGTCTATACATCTTGCCCTTGAGCATTTGCTGGGCTTATATCCAATCACAAATCGCATACTTCCTTTTGCCTAAATGTTATTTCTTGTATTTTCTAGAACCAGCTCTGCTAACTCGCCATTTTTTAGAGTGATCAAGAGGAAGCCAAATCTAGTACGGAGGCTTCAGAACAACATACATTAGAGTGTATACACTGCAACTCCATTATCGGCATGGAAGATTCATCGGCCAATGGATGGCGATTACTCAAGGCAAATGTATCCTTGAACACCAATTCTGCGCCTGTTACGGAAGAAGAATGGCAAAGTCACCCCGAAGAGATGATTGTCGCGGCCCAATTGCTGGAGCTGATCGAGCGTGAGAGTGCTCGAAGATTTGTCGTTCATTGCGGCCAAAAAAGTGGACTATTGGTATGTGCTTCCTCTGATACACTAACATTAGAATTCACATACTCACATTTGCTTTCAGCTCTGGGTCTTCAATCCCGACTTACGATATTCAAATTCATCTTCCGGATACAGCGTCAACGCCCAACAAGCCATGAAAGTGTTCTATCAGAACATCCAGGACGTTGACAAACTTCTCAATCCAGAACTCGGAAAAGTCAGCCCACTGTCGGTGGAAGAGCTCGAACTTCCCTCATCGATCCTGCAATCATTATCATCCTCCCTCGAAAAAAGCAACAACATGCTTCCCCTTTCAGCGAGAAGGTTCAGCGAATGGCATGTCGGTTTGTTGAGCCGGTTCAGTCGTGAACAAACGGCTCCCTCGGTTTCTACCTCGGTCTGAGGACACACACATGTCTATGCCGCCTATCTCTATTCCACACGGCACATCATCAAACTACAGCTCACGAAGCACATGTAATCGGCATATTCATCGATTTGGTATATCATTAATCCAATCATTCATTACAATCAAATCCTTCGCCTCTACCCCTCATAGGGAGTCTCATACGGCTGCTCAGCTTGTGGAGTCAACCGGGCAATGTGTCGACGCTGACCATCCTCCCAATCGAACACGGCAGAGTGGGATGCCACTCGGTTATCCCATACGACCACCGTCCCAGACTTCCACCGAACACGGGCCTGCAAATCTTGCGACAGCGCGATGTGGTCGTACAGGAACTTAAGAAGGTAGTCCGACTCTTCCTTCTTGTATCCGACAATAGAACGGGTGACTAGGGAGGGTCGTCAGTACAGCTATTGGGTCATTCCAAGCAGGAGGGCGGAATGAGACTCACATTGCGGGTTGACATAAAGGGCTTTCTCGCCCGTTACCGGATGCGTGCGAACAATCGGGTGCTCTGAAACAACAGGATCACGGCGCGCAATACCGCCGCCATTCAGGCTAGCATTTACCTGCTCAACGCCCGAGTGAATGGCCTTGAGTCCGTGCAGTCGCTTTTGGAACTCTGGTGAAAGCCGCTTGTAGGCCTGCACCATGTCGGCGAAGAGGGTGTCACCGCCGGTCGTGGGACCATCGAGAACATAGAGGAATGTTGTTCCGGGCGGTTGCTTTTCGAAAGTGACATCCGAGTGCCAGGTTATTGTGTTGGTGCGCTGTGCCAGGAAATTGGCGCCGGTGCGATCATCGGCGCCTCGGAAGACGAGATGGATTTCTGGGAAGCCCTTGGGGGCACCTGATGTTTGGTGGATGTGGTGACGGCCGAAGTAGCCGGCCCAGTCGACGGCTTCTTGGATGGGGAGGGATGCGAAGTCCTGGTCGCGGAAGGCTATATATAGCGTTAGTTTTGAATTTGAATGGAAATGAAAATTGACCTTTCGGCGAAGTGGAACTTCAACATACCAACTACTCGACGTTGAGCAACGTATAGAGCCAGCTGATCCTTGCCAGCCTGGGAGAGCTTGCTCAATTGTACATTGTGGATTTCGGAGCCGATGGAAGGGGTGATTTGATCAACTTGAGCGGGTCCATCCTTGGGGAAGAGGTCAGGAAAAGTAGGGTCTGCATCTTTCCCGTGATCGTAGTGCTCGAAGAGTGTCAGGGGGGGATATCTAAGTCAACGTTAGTGATGTTTCTTTGCGGTATCTCCCAACGACTTGATTCGTTCGGTTTTTGATATTGTTTACCTGGCAGTTTCATTGTCCCAGACAGGCAGATAGTTGGGATAAGCGGCCGGCGCAATCTTGTCGGTGCCCTTCAACTCCGGATCTTTTTCATATTTATATCCAATCAAATTTTCCTTGTTATGGCCAGCGTCTGTCTTGTGAGCCACCTTGAATGTGGCATCGCGGAGACCGACGTTCTCAGTGAGACCAGGGGCCATGATGTACGGTTGAATGGAGGGTTATTGAGTACTGAACTCCGGTGATGGCTTTCAAGGTTGATAAAATATCTGGAAACTTCGAAAACCTCAAGTTCCAAAGTCACTACTACTAGTACTCGAGTCTAGCAGTTCACAATATCAAATTTCCTTTACTGGAGGAGCAGGTCCATTTTAGTTATATACCAGGCAAATAATGCTCCGACTCATGATTGCGCAATGACAAAGTGAATCTCTCGCCCGAAATATGGTCCGGAAATGCTTTGTCAACTTGAACCTTGAAATCTGCGATCAGTACCTACTCTGGCAGGTCGACTGCGGGGTGATCGGGTGGTCGGAATACAATCATTTCTGTTGGCCTTGAGCTTCGTTATGCATGTCACAAATGGCGTGATAATAAGATTGTAGCGACCAACCGGACCATTTGGGGGAATTTTGATGGCGTGCGACTAGGTATACCCCAAAAGACCTAAAGCGCACAACTCAATAAAATAATACGGGTTGTCTGCGAACTTTTCTTGTTGTTGTTCTCTTCTGCTCTGCTTGTTCCCCTCGATGGCGTGCTCCTCGGCCGACCTCACGCAAAGCAACACCAACTTGAACCCTCGGCTCTCGGTGATTTTAGCGAGTTCTTTCAAAAAGCCAATGATCCAGAAGCACTGCAGAATACTGATTGGCACAGGGATTTAATAATTTGGCTTATGGCTTTGTCGCTGATTGACTAGATTTAGCACGGAGTAAAGAGATAACCTAGCCCCGACGATTTTTTAAGATATTGAGACAGATAGAACCCTCCAACAACACTATGAAGATCACCATATCTCCTTCAAGTTCGCCCCTGAAATCTTGAAAAGTCGAAATTCTTGCTCTGGGATGGATTCACAATTATAGAAACCAGAGCAATGACGCAGCAATTCGGGTCAACACCGCAACTCCATCAAGTGGAGCATTCAGTGGGGTCGAGCTAAAACGACATCCATGCGTATTCCACTGGATTTGACTCGCTGAGCCTAACGTCAGTTCAAACCGTCTTGCGTGCTTCGGCCAACCCCCATGTACCATTACCAGTTGGGTCGGAAGTAGTGAACGAATTAAGCGGCTCCCAGTCCTGCCTGGATCTTGTCTGCCCCTTTGTTTCACTCTAGATCACGGCATTTGTCCGCCTGGGTCTACTTTGTAACGCAATCCGGCCTCGCCATGAACATCAGCACGAGCAAAATTATACGGAGCACTGTCAACCCTGTTCTTTCACCCATTGGGGTACCTGACCACCTTCCTGGTTAGAAAGGGCCCGGGCAGCCGACGTGCAGCAGATCGGACCTAGATGCACGCTTCGATCCACCTCGTGGCTTATCAGTAGCGACTTCAAGGCTGAGATCTGGTTGTCCGCGTCTGCCACAAGATATGGCGTGATAGAGGGCCAAGATGGCTGATAGTCAATTCATGGACCAACTTTTTTTTTTCTCGTGCTTGCTCGGGCCCTTCTTATAGCTGGCAATGTCCGTTACTTTCTAGATCAGTCTCAACCGTTTCTGCTTTGCTGTACCAGATCGCATTTCACGATCCATAGTCGCAAACATGGCGATAGAGGAGGCGAAGACTACCGGCTCCGATGCAGAGAACTATGATACCAAGGTCGCGCCGCGAGTTGAATCTGCAAGCGACTCCGAGTCTACTTTGACCGGCCACCGAGAGACAGCTAAAAACGTCGACTGTGCTTTTGATACCACCGAGGATCCCCGCTACTACAAGCCCATCCCGGAGTATGAGGGCTACCATCGCTGGGACCCCGAGTTTGAGTGGACCGAGGAAGAGGAAAAGGCCGTTGTGAAAAAGGTGTGTTTACAAAATCGTATCAATGCTGATTTGGCTTCTATGAATTAAATTTACTGACAACAACCTGCAGATTGACTGGCGCGTCTGTACCTTTGCCTGCGTTACATTCTTTGCATTGCAGCTCGATCGAGGAAATGTTGTCCAAGCTACATCTGATAACATGTTGGGTGATTTGGGTATGAACACCAACGACTACAACACCGGACAGACAATCTTCCTTTTGACCTTCCTATTCGCGGAACTTCCATCCCAACTACTTTCCAAGTGGTTCGGGCCCGATCGCTGGATTCCCGTTCAAATGGTTTCTTGGAGTTTGGTCGCTGCCTGCCAGGCTTTTGTTAAGAACCGAAGCACCTACTTTGTGACCAGAGCTCTACTGGGTCTTCTCGAGGGTGGCTTGTAAGTTTTCTTTTTACATTTTGATAAGCATTACTTTTTCTCTTTACTAACAATTGGCAAGTATTCCCGATACCATCCTATTCCTCTCGTTCTGGTACAAATCCAAGGAGTTGCCCATTCGTCTCAGTTACTTCTGGGTTGCTTACCAGGGCACTTCAATTGTGAGCGCATTCCTTGCCTTCGGATTCCTGCATATTCGCGGTTCAGACGGCACAGGTGGCTGGCGATACCTATTCGCGTTCGAGGGCCTGATCACCGGTTTGATCGGTATCATTGCCGCCTTCTGGATGCCCCCTTCCCCAACCCAAACAGCCGGCCGATTCCGTGGCAAAGACGGATGGTTCAATGAGAAGGAGGAAAAGATCATGGTCAACCGTATCCTTCGCGATGACCCCAGCAAGGGTGGCATGCACAACCGTCAGGCCGTTACTCCCCGCATGTTGTGGCATGCTCTCAAGGACTATGACATGTGGGTGATTTATCTGCTGGGATTGACCTGGATGATTGCCAATACGCCCGCGACATCTTATATCAGTCTGCAACTCAAGTCGCTAGGCTTCAGCACTTTCCATACCAACTTGCTCACCATTCCGGCATCTGTGATCTTTATTCTCAACTTGCTAGTCTGGACATGGATTTCTGAGAAATTCAACATCCGGTTGCTTCTTGGTGTCGGTGCCGAGCTATGGGCTATCATCCTGCTTATTGCTCTCGAGGTGCTTCCTGCTGGTGCCAGTCCCTGGGCTCGCTGGGCACTTTTGACTCTGCTCATTGGAATGCCATACGTCCATGCCATCGTCGTTGCAATCACATCGCGTAATGCAGGTACCGTTCGCACTCGAACCGTTGCAACTGCACTCTACAATATGATGGTGCAAGTTAGCAACATTATTGGCAACAACGTGAGTACACAAAACTCGGATATCTTGGTGACTCCCAACTAATAATTTTGAACAGATCTACCGGGAAAATGATAAGCCACTGTATCGAACTGGAAATGCGGTGTTGATTGGTCTCGCGGCATGGAGTTTGGTAATGTTCATCATTGCCAACTACTACTACGTGTGGCGTAACAAGTTAGTCATGATTACCCTAGCTCACTTCTTTGAATATCATCTAATACAATGACAGGAAAAATGCCGCCGTCTGGGACAACATGACCAGTGAAGAGCGAGAGCGATACGTGGCCGAAAATCAACATCTCGGCAACAAGAGGTATGTCACCCTATTTTCGCGCAAAATCAGGTACAATAACTAATTGGTTCCCATAGAGTCGATTTCCGCTTCCTGCACTAGACGAAACTAGACCACGCGGGCGTTGTCTAGAAAATAGGGATAAACAATTATATTCCTAGATATAGAAGTAGACTAAGTACCCAGCTTGATGTATGGGTATAATAATTATGACTATATTCAAACAATCATCAACTCTTTGTATATCTCAGATAGATCTATTTCGCCAGGACTAACCCTGAAGAGCATGCTTCTGTATTCCCTGTAACAAGATGTCTATTCCCCAATCACATATTCGCACCCCTCATCCCCGATCCAAACCTCATGGACTTTGCCGGCCGGTACATCAATTCTGGCCCCAGCACCAAAAGTTTCTTTCTTGACTTGGCCGCCGTGGAGGCTGGAGTTGTCTTCTGGGTAGGTGACTGTGAATGTACCTCGGCGAATGAGGTGGGTTGTAAGACCATCATGCGTGTGAGGCGAGTAGTAAGCATTACTAGTAAATTGTTAGAGCTAGTGATACATCACATGTACTACCAGATAGTCAAATATATCGACATGCCTTCCGTCTGACCATGTGAAGACATGTTTGAAGCCCCAGTCTCGTACCAGGCGCTCGCTCTCCGACCGATTACCGATGGGGTATTTTTCCGCCATATTGCGTGTGCCCTCGAGTGAGCCTTAAGAAATCGGTGTTGATATCCTCGTGTTTCAGGATTGACAGTGTTGGTCTATTATTAATGGAAGCAGCATGTGTGGAGGGGCGTGATGTCATCACCAACTGTCACGTGTCTATCTATACGCGAACAAAAGTACGAACGAGGGGGGTTCTAGAAAGTCGATCGTGAACTAAAATGAGCCTGAATATACGAAAAGCAAGACTCAAGTTGGCTCTTGAATAGAAAAAATCAGCATGTTGATGTTGACGTCGACTAGCATACAGCGCGAATGGACTCCACATGCAAAATATTCGGAGTCAAGATATCAAAGCCACAAAGAGAGGGAGGGAAGCCCTCGTCTTGGAACACTGTTTTTAGTTCCTGTGACCGAAATAGAAAAAAAAAACCCGATGACCCTATCATCTGAGTGGGTGCCTCTTCGGGGCCCGTACCGATGATGGTGGTAGAGGCTTCTGTCGGAGAGACTTTGAGACGAATTCCCGAATCGTATTCGTGAGAACTCCGTGGAAGTGGTTGGAAATGGGAATGAAACGCCGTGTAGTCGCTCAATGCCCTTTTTTTCAACGCCGTCATATGATGCATCCTCATTTTGGAGGTCTGGCGGCTGACTGGCTTCTATTTTGGAGCCAGCCCATGGTGCGAATGGAATGGTAAATGATGGCGAGAATCGGAAGAGGTATGTGGGACTTCAAGCACAGGGCGTATGACAGACATGACAGCTCTTTCCCGGGATAACCCAGACCTCTTGTCCCTTTGCTTGACAGCTAGGACACCGGACACCGGGCATCTAAGATGGAATGTTAGCAGTTTCTCACAAAAGTACCCGGGCTGGCCCTGGAGTTCCCAGTACCAACGATTCAGTTTGGCGGACGAACCTTGTTCACGGCGGGGGAGGCCGAGCACACGGGGGCGCCACACTGCTGGGAGTTGGTCATGATTCTGATTGAGGACGATCTCTGCCAGTGGGTGGATGTATAATCTCGAGTCACTGCGTAGTGCCTCAGGCTAAAGCGAAATCTTCGAAGGGCAACAGCTTGAACAACAAGGATAATCCAATTTCACTTTCGTGCCTTCTTTTTTTTTTCTGCTCTATTAAACTTCCAAATTTTGGAAGAAGACTGGGCTGAAAGGTCCTTATAAAGCACGACGACCGAAAGGGGAATGGAAGCGCAAACCCTCGTCGTCTGCGTCTAAACCCAGTTTTTGCAAGCCCGCGATCGAGCCAAATCTAATCGGTGGGTTTGAAGATCTCAGGATTTTCTGACTCTTCTTTTCGGAAGTTCCCGTGGGAAAAAGAGAGTGCTGGTTCCATTGAGACTGGACGAAATTTGGAGGCATCGATACTTACGATCGACCAGTCAGGCAAGCTTGGCCTGAACCAGGGATCATGGTGCATTGCTTTTTGTTAGCGCGGGCGCCACTTTCTCTCAGCATCCAATTATCATTACAGACTCGGCTCCTCCCGAGTAGTCCGAGCACGGAGGTGTTCGTTATTATGTTTGCTCTGCATCCATCATGCCTGCTCCTGCTGATACCCTGCTGGTATTGCTCCTGCTGCGATGCTGAGTCGATGCCGGTGACGAAGCGGACGAAATCCATATCGGGTACGGAGTACAAACAGCGAGAAATCAATCTAGTCATGGTGTGTGCATCACGCATCCCGTCAATCAAGCCAGGGCTTTTGGGGCAAAGTTGACGTATCAATCTGGAACCTGGGGGCAGATCGCGGCCTCGGACAACCTCGGCGGGGGCACTGCGGTCAGGGGCTAGGCGAGTCAACGCGATGGCTTCCGATTATTGGTCCATCGAGTGCCATGATTGTCTTCCCAAGTCTAAATGTTTCTATACGCTCCAATCATGCGGAACACTGCATGCCAATTCGAGCTGTCAGCGGGTGCCACGCGTGAACCCTCCACACTCTTCATATCCCACCTCCACGACCGTCTATCTATCACGACAGAGACCCTCTCGGCTGAGACAGCGGCTCGCTCAGCCTGGCTTCTTGACAGATGTGGTGATGTGACCGAACAAGGGCATAGTCCAGAATCCACTTCCTTGGTCCTCGGCATCACATTCCCAAGCTATGCCGCTGCTCCACGTCAATCACTGTGAGAGAGACATTCCTCCATGACTGTCACTCGTCACACCTCATGCCTCAACCTTATCATGGAATCGGAGCATTTACCGATCACCTCTGCTTCCCTTTTCTCTCCCATTGCCGCATGATGATCAATCTGATGCATGTCGCTTGGCATGTCGATCCGCCTATCCTTTCCACCCTGACTGGCCCCCTGTCCCTTAAGCCCCTCGGGACGTGCACCGCAAACCGCCCCCACGCAAAGCCTTTCAACACCTTTGCTTTCGCTCACCGATGTTCCAAGGTCTCAAGAGTAAATGGCCATCCAAGCGCTGTCCAGGGGCTGCTCTCCTGGAGCGGCACGCCGCATGGTAACCCACCTTAGTGGGGCTGAATGGCGCGCATCATGCAGCATAACTTTCTTGTTTGCTTAGGTAGACTAATGCAACCACCGGTATCCTGCTGCTGGCACTGCATTGCTGGTCCGGGCTACCGCATGGCCGGCGCTGTCGTATGTACCCAGACGCTTGGCCTTCCACGTTCTCGCCAGTCCAGGGTCACCCTTGTCAGCGTGATTATTTACGCATGGAAGCCCACCGTTTCCATTTCAATCACCTCAACATTTCCGCCCAAAAGTCTCGCCTCCTAGGAGGGGCGCTATTGAATCCTCTTTTTTTTTTGCTCCAGTGGACCCTTTCAATCATCAGCATTGCCGCGCATGCCGCACTGTCCAGCCTGGAAATGCACTACAGCATGCGAATTCTTTGCATAGTACAGTACGTCGAAGACTGCTTGTGGTACGCCGTGCAACGCCCAATTCTTCAGGTTTACCTCTTTTAGTGCGTAGCATTTCTGCCATGCGCTGTTTGCTGCAGCCTTGGGCCCTCCCAGGAAGCTGTGGCACAGCGGTCACACCGGAGGCGCTGGAGCCTCCTTGCTTTAACGGCATTGCATTGAATTGTCACTCGCGGCCGTGCTCATCTGATCTCTGAAGATGACGAGCTCGGCCATCACTCTCGGCAAATATCCCATACATACATATGCTATGGCCTTTTCGCATCGAGGATCAGCAGGCTCAGGTTCAGATGCCATAGTGGAATGGCATGCAGGACATCGCAGAGCCCTCGCAGGAAGATCACGATGTTAACCCACTCTAGATTAATAGGATGACTGGACGAATACAACTTGTGGCTTGTCGGCTTGTCATATGTGGCTGCGTTAAAGAAATCTGATATGTGGCACTCGACTGTCTTTCCCTTGACTACGCTGCGCGATAAGGAGTATGGGCTCGTGATCTTAAAAGAGAGATACATTTGAGCCCCTGGATCCGTATAAAAAGAATATGTGCTGCACCGCAGAGAGATTCCAGACAAAGTGACCCATCACATGCTGTTTGCTCAGGACGTCTTCTTCGTGATGCGAACCAATAATATGCCCCCTGCCTTTTCTCCGGTGCTGTCGAGAAGATGGACGAGCCGGTAGCCTTCTCGAAGTCGGTCAAGCCGAATGCAAGCCCACGCGGCCAGCGAGTCACGACCGATCTCGTCATCCTTGATTTTGAACCTACATCGTAGAACGTCGTTAGCAGGGGGTCATTCATGATGGTGGTACAACATGTCCAACGGATGCCGAATGCGGGGAACCGGAAGAATGGTCTTGCACGGTTCTCTCCCAGAATTATGCAGCTCTGACCAAGAAGAGCAGCTGCAAGATTCAGGAGCAAGCCCGTTTCTAATATCTGGCCAAACAGCTCTTGCATGACAAGTTCTTCAAGCTCGATATCACAAGGATCACCCCTGTCGATGCGGCTATGTGATACAACTGCGCGAGGCACAGGCGGCAACAGCAGGCACAGCAATGAATTGGGGGGGGGGCGGGAGAAAAAAAGAAAAAGCAAAGAGAAAGAAGAATAGACCAAGCCAAGGTCAAAGATATCCGCAGTTCAACGTACCGGAGGAAACTTAGCTTCTCAACCACCCCGCTCACAGCCGGAAACTCCAATTTCTGCCCCTCGAAATCCGGGTTGATGCCCGACTTACTCTTTGTACAGCGACGATAACTGCTCTTCTCGGAATCTGAGCTCACATCGTCTTGTCCAACAGCAACCGGACTGTCGGGTTCCTCGACATGCAACTGGCAATTTACGTACGGGCGGAACCATTTCTCGCTATGGTCGCTGGGCGGGAGTGATAAGTCCTGAGCGGCGAAGACTTCGATCGTGAGCTCGAGCGTCTCACGACTGATACTATTGGCGTGTGACTCCGAGCTCTTGTATCCTGTCGGCTTGATGACCCATCCTTGCGTGCCGGCGAACATCCCGTGGTTGAGCATCATGCCTTTGTCCAGGTTCTGCCAGTTCAATGCAACTAACTGTGCGCCTCGGCGCCAGTAGAAAGATGGGTCTAGGTTGGAAGAGTTGACTCGGAACGCGAAGGGGTAAATGCGCATCATGGACAACCGGTTGTGTTCAAATAGGGCGTCGCGATGGTTCAGGTGGGCATCTCGCGCTCCCTTTTCAGACAGCGAGAAGATATGGACTGGGTCCTTGGCCTCTGTCACCAGTTCAGTATTTCTCTTAACCTGACATTGAAGTGCCAGTGCTTACCAGGCTGATCAAAGTGGCTGAAGTGATATGCTCTTGTATAGATAGCCAGCTTTGCCAAAGCCTCTAGGATCTTAACAGGTTTCACAGGCTTCGGATTCTGCGATGCGGACTTATCCTCAAGTTCTTCGGTTTCACTCTCCTCCCCCTTCGTCTCTTCGTCGATCTCTTTTGTCCCCTTCAGCGGCAACGACTTGGTCTTGATTAGGATCTTTCCCTTCAACTGTGCCAAAGTTGGCAGTTTTTCTGTCGGTGTGTCAGCCGGGACCTCTACCAACAATCCCTTCCACGCCTCGTGGATAATATCAACCATAAGCTGCTGTTGTTCTAGATTGGCATGAACCTCAAAGCTGATGATTACTGGCAGATCACTCGTCTTAAAAGCGCTATCCCTAATCGCATAGGCAATCTCACGGAAAGAAGCTCCTTTGGTCAAAGTGTGTCCGTGCAAGACTCGCGGCTCTCCCTTGATGGCTCCTTGGGTCGAAGGCGGCTCTGAAACCGACTTGGGTTCTTCTTTTCCAGCATCTGCGCCCGCACTGGTGGATATATTCGGGGTCTCTGCTGTGGTAGACGATGATGCAACAGGGGCACTGGCATCTGAGGCTTTGCTTTTGAGCCCCAGCTTCGCGCTGATAGATTTGGGCAACTTTGAAACGAGCTTTTCTTCAGACTCGGCTTTTGCCATAATCTTCTGCTTAAGCCGACTCTTTACTCCCTGGTTTGCCACCTTTGCTTTCTTGGTCTCGTCTTCGGATTCGCTGCTACTCTCGCTGCTTGTCTCTTCATTCTCACTCGTGTCAGGTGAAAGCGGCTCGCCGTCCCAAACATCAATCTCAACCGAGCGACACCCACGTAGAAGGACCTAGATATGTACTAGTATCAGCCACACATTCAGAAAGCACTGAGCAACCTTATCCTCAACCTTAAATCAATAGCGTATCAAGCTATCGCGTTGCAGATCACAGGCAGCTACTAGTACTTACCGATGTATACGCACTTGCAGCCGCATCACTGTACAACTGATTACCCGTCAGATAGGTATTATGGCTGGAGGAAACAAAGTAGTCCGAGAGGGGAGCCGAGCAATCCAGCACCTCAGCAGGAGCCTGGGCCCTTGAATCCTCATCCTTCATATACGAACGAAAAGCATCGATCGAGGCGAGAGGGTCGGAAATTGACAAATTCGTATCAGGGACGGTCTCGGCCTGGACATTCTGGCGGAATTCATTCTTGGTCGTCTCGGACGCCACAATAGACTCGTAGATGCGCAGTAGATGAGTATCAATCCCGACATGAAACTTATCGATAGGCTTTGACTCTGATGGGTGCAGCGAGAGATGACGCGCCCGCTCGACGAGACTCTCCACTTCTTCCATGGTTTTGGCAGTAGTGCTTCCTGCCAATAGGAATTCTCCGGCAGCGCAGGGCCTCTTAGTCAAAATTGGAGAATAGGTTGAAAGCGACTATTCCAGTTGCAGATGTTTGGGCCCTGGGATGGAGCCTAGCTTGCTCAGGTACTCTCAACCGAAGCGGGGAGGGAGTCTAGCGGGAGGGCCGATTGGTAGGAGATGGAGGGGGCCGCAAGGTTGATCCTATTCAATGCAACGTCGATATAGATCCCGACACCCACGCTGTAGCTTGAATAAGGCTGTTTTTGTTCGTTTGGGGTGATTGCTGAAAGAATCCAAAGAGTAAGCAATAACACATCCAGAAAAAGCCACAAAAAAGGGTCGGGGCCACGTGAAGCGGGATGGACCCTCCACTCCGCATACGTGGCTGTTGACTTGGCAGTCTTTTTGAGTTATGTTGGTTGGATATAGAACTAAATGTGATTCCATGTGGATTTTCTATATTTGCAGCTTGGGATGTTAGGTACCGTCTACGGTTCCATGGAATGACACTGCATGGAACCAGGTCGGGTCAAAAACGGCTAACCTAGGTACGAAGTACTGATATGTCTAGCCTTCTTCGAGCGGGGCATTGCGAAGGTTAGCTCGGGGACTAGATAAAATCCTATCATGGGAAGAGATATGGGATCAGGCCTCCCATTTTCCCGGGAGCTAACTCGTATCTAGCAGACCGGCTCGGACAGCACCACGGATTCTTATAAATCAAGCCTTGTGGTGCATTGGTTAGCCAGTCCCCCCCGCTTTCCCCCAACTATAAAACACCTTGCAATCACTCCAATCCAAGAGAATGACCTGGGCAATCAATCCGAATATTTCAATCCTTGCAATAGAATTGCAGTAGAAGCACCGTTTATCAACATACTCGAATATTCACAATGGCACCCTCCGAGCCCGTCCACTTCTTCGATATCATCTCCACCCTACCAGGTAAGCCTCCCCTCACGAATTCACAAATCAATAGAATTGACCTTAACACCTGAATACCCAATCCAGGCTCCTCAAAATCCTGGTCCCCAAACACTCTCAAAGTACGCGCCGTTCTCAACTTCAAAGGCATCCCCTACACCCAATCCTGGATATCCTACCCAGACATCGCCCCTCTTCTCAAAAGCCTCGACGTCGCCCCAAATGCAACCGGCACCCCATACACTCTCCCCGCAATCATCCACAAAGACTCCATAACCACCAACCCGCACGGCGCACTAATGGACTCCCTCCCCATCGTCCTCCACCTAGATAAGATCTTCCCATCCCCTCCGCTCTTTCCCTCTGGTGACGCAAGCTACGCGCTCCTCGTCGCACTGGGTAAAGTCGTTGGCGCCATGGGCCCTGCAGTCCGCCAGTTGATTGTGCCAAATGTGCCCCAGCATCTGGACCCACGCGGACAGGAGTACTTCAATCGAACCCGCGCGGAGACTTTTGGAAAACCGCTATCAGAAGTTCGGCCCAAGGATCAGGCCGGGGTAGATGAGATTTGGAAGATTGTTGAGGCGGAGAGCGAGACGCTGGTTAAGATGTTGAAGGGGCGGGATGGGAAAAGGGGACCCTTTTTCGAAGGGGAGAAGGCGGGGTATGCCGACTTGATGATCTGTTGTATATTTGCTTTCTTTGAGCGCATGGATTCTGCTTTCTTTGAGAAGTTGATGGGTCTCGGTGATGGGGAGGTGAAGGCTCTTTGGGACGCGTGTAGGCCTTGGCTGGAGGGTCAGGGTGAGGAGAAAGAGTGGCCGATTCCTGCACAAGATTGAGCTCAATACCTATTCCGATGGCTGTATTATTTACGGTGGAGAATAGGACTGGGGATGATATGGTTATCGCTGGTGCGGGAAGGAATGATTATGTAGATCAGTATCATTGATATATATGCCACAATCGAGAAGAATCAGTCGACGTAATAGTACATGTTGGATGTTCGGGTCTGGGGGAGGAGATCGGGGCCGGTCCAGATCGAATACCGTGGGTTCCCATCAGATGGGAACCCAACCGCTTGAGTAAAAACACAAATCGCTTCTAGGATGACTGCTTGAAGCCCAAGCAAAAACTTTTTACAGACCACGCAAGAAGTTAGACTCCTTGATCGCCTTTCGTCGCGCCTCGCGTGCGCTCTTGGTGACTTCCGAGCGCTTGTCCATGCCATCAGTAGCATTGGTCAGACCATCGGTGGGAGCATCGCTGTTGTAAGAAGCGGGTGTGATATCTTCGGCGTGGTGGTGGGCGGGAATCTTAGGAGGGAGTTTCTCGGTGCGCGCGGCGAGCTTCTTCTCGTAGCGCTTCCGTTGCTTCTTGTTCAGGGCTGTTATGGAATATCATTAGTATGCACGTTCGAATTGATTGATGCAATCAATAGAATAGGGATCAACGTACTGGCCGGGTCAATACCGCCCTTGTGAGCCTTGGCCTCTTTGCTGGCATCGCCCAGCAGATCCCAAAGCCAGTCTGGGTACTCGTGGTCCTCCTTGGCGAGCACCTCGGGTTTGTTCTTAAAGTAGTTCAGGCCGTTGATCTTTGTACCAGCCAGGCAGCTGCTCGGCGGGCGTTGTGTGGCCTTGGTAGCCGCAGCCGGGTTCACATCGATGTGAACCTCCCCGGGGGTGCTGAAGGGTTGAGAGACGCCGGGGGTTGCGGAGGAGATAGCGGAGGGAGCCGTGCTGTCACCGGCAGCGGGTTGACGGGGAGTGGAGGGTGAAGGGGGAGCAGCCACCGAAGGGTTAGGTGCCTTGTCACTGTAATTCCTGAACTGGCTCCGAACAATGGGCAGTTGGCGCGAGGATAATGATGCGGTCCATGTCGCGGCCTGTTGTTGCGGTAGCCGCGAGAGCATGCTTGTCCGGCAGCTTCTGCAAATCATGGTGACGGAGAGCGGGGAGAATCAATTGAGTCAGTTTCCGCGGTCCAGTAGCTGTGGCAAGTAACTTGACTTGCTCGAATGTTCTGCGGGAACTTGAATGATCGTAGAGTCGCGGCCACGCAGAACAGAAAACTGCGGCGTGGACCCGGCGCCAAGCCGGAGAGTTGTCACGTGATATCGTGCAGCCTATTGGGTCAAATATAGTTGCAAGAACATAGCTAGTATGCAAGTCTGCAGTTTGATGCTTTCTGAAGAAGCAAGTCATTTTTTTAATGACGTGGTTAGAGCTTCAGATTCTCAGTTAGGGCCAACCAAGTCTGATTTACTGACCAACGAGCGACGTAGTTATGGGACAACCTTGGGACTCTCCCGAATAGGAAATAATTCCCAGAGCCCGCGGTCTCGGAGCGCGCGACCCCGCATCATAGGAATTATAATTAGCAAAATGCTGTTCAATTGGTCAGATTACCCTATTTTCAATCATGATTAAGTCGAGATGTCAATGGGGGGCATATGGCCCCTCTTATATAGCTCCTCCCTTTCACTAACGATTGTTACTCCTCCGTATTTTTTGCGAAGCAAGTTTGGACTCACAAGCGATACATCACAATGATGTGCTCTATTCGGTTTGATTTCATGATGATCTCAAGCCCTACTACTATGTTGTCTCTCTCAATCGCCTTGGCAATTGCCTTATACATTGTTGGAAACACGGTATGTAATATGTACATCCTACCCATATGCTATTCTGTATCGCGTCTCAAATGTGACGATTTCTTCATAGCACTGGGCCAAGCAACTCTTAAATCAATTCAAGAACTCGAAGAAGCAATTTCCGTCAATAGAGCCACTCTCCGATTTTGACTGGCGGGCCCAAAAGCCTAGACAATTACGACCATATAGACCAATCTATAACATAACCATGGGTACCTAGACTCCAGATCCGTAAATGAAAAGGCATTGCTAACTTCTTCCTAAAGCCATCAAACCAGAACCTCTATCTGATCTCGTAACAGTTGACAACCAATATCTGGACCGAGTAACGACCCGCCGAAATATAATTGCCGAATACAAAAACACCGTCCACGGCTGTCTGCCCGGGGGCGAGAGTGCTGTCCACGAGCTCTACTCTTATCTCCTAACTCATCATCTACCCATCCGCTTCCCGGATCTTTTCACTTGCCAGGGTAAACTATTTCATAACAGAGTAACAGGCAAATCATTCCCTACGACCCCGCCGCAAGACCCGGAGACTTGTCTCCGAATACTCGGCGAAACGGTAGAAGAGGATATCTTCCTCCTGATGGAAACGGAGACAACTCACAAATGTCTGGCATTCACATGTTGCTTCCCGACGGGCTTTGATCCATCTTCGAAGCTGGGTTTAGATCTTCGGGGTATACATGGTCCTGTGCCAGCCTATGAAAAGATCGGGCCTAGTATGGAGAGATTCTTTCGGAAGCTTGAGGTTGGGAAGAGTGTGAAGAGAATGAATGTAAGTTCCAGCATCTTGACTCGTGTCTAGTCCCTCTTTATTTCCGAGTGGTGTGGTACTAATCTCAGCGATTTCTGTAGTGGAATATCCAAACTGGTGATTATTTGATCAATGTGGCAGGGAATCACATCAAAGAAGGCGACGAATTTGTAGCCGACGAAGATGTCGACCATTCAACGGTGAGTTGAATTACCTAGGTACATAAACGGGGCGTTGATTGGCTTGAGGCTAATTATCAAAGGCCAATCTTCGAATCGAGCTCCAAACTTTGACGCGCCTCCCTGAAACAAAATTTGTGCTTTTTTGCTTCAAAACTTACCTCTATCCATTGGCCAATATCAAGGCAGAAGGCACTGGCCCGGAACTTGCCGATGCTATAGAGGGCCTCCAGAAGGGCAACGCACCCGGTATGTTCAAGTACAAGAGCGCGGTTCGATGGGGAAAGAGTGTGGCAGAGTATTTACGATCATGATCATGATAAGCACAAACTCTTGTAAGACACATGCAATTAAATTGTTACATAATTTGAGCATATATCAAACAAATCCACCCCATCCGTCAAACTCTTCCGCAAACTTCACAGCGGCTTTCAGGAAGAATTCGTCATGGTCTCCCCAGGTCGAGGACATCTCTCGTAGCGACCGGAGTGTCTTGACATAGTGTGAATCTGTAGAATTCTCCCCTTTGACAGCTTTCTCAGAAACCCAGTTCCAGTCTCTTCCTTTCAAATCAACGTTTCGGATATTCTCTAGCGGGGTCTCAGGTCGAAGCTGGGCAATGAAAACCGCCAGGGTTATGAGCCACCATTGTCGAACGAGCGGGACCTGGAATTTCGCTGGGATCAGGGGTAGCAAGACCCGGACAGCATGGCTGGTGGTTAAGACGTGCACGAGGAAAAAGTCGTACTTTGTTGAGGGGTCCTGGTGCGTCGAAACCAGCAGTGCGGCTGCTAACTCCTGGCTTTCATGGAACTGTTCGATCGGGTTCTCGAGTGTCCATGCGTTCCAGTGGTTCAAGAGAACTCCTTCTCGGCTGCTAAATAGCTTTTCAATGTTGTGGTCACCCGGTGTAACAAAAAGTCCGTCGAGCTGCTTATCAGATCGGACCTTGTCGAATATTTCAAAGACAGATGTTGTATGATAGGATGCTTCGATTTTATTAGGGACCGGATCATCCAGATAGTTGTGGATGTCGTTGTAGCACACTGCCGCTAGGCTTATTGCCTCCATTGCGACTTCTCGACTGGACATCTCATAAGCGTAGGCGAGGTGAATTAATGGATGTCCCACTGGATGATATGTCAGTAATCTCAATTCGCAAAGGATATGGCCATGCTTGGACAAGACACTTACAGTCAGCTATGACCGAGTTGAATACGGGCTCTTTGCCCGAGAAAAGATATTCCTCAACGACCTGTTTCCAGTCATACCCAAATCTAACCAGTTCGTCTTCGAAGAAATCGACAAAAGCTTTTTCGTATCTGGTGAATTGCGTCAGCACTAGACTATGCACATGGGGATCGAGTTAAGCTATGAGCATACTCCCGACATCCCAGATATTCCCTCCAATCATAAGTAGTAACCTCAGCAGGCGCATCCTCCCATGGATCTAATAACTTAGATTCACTCTCATATAGTCGGGTCAGATCCTCCGCGTCAGCACCCTGCAAGAAAGCAGAGCTGAGGAGCTACCAAAATTGTCAGCCAAATCCCACCACGACAAGTCAACAAATCCCCTAGTGTTTGTAAAACTCACATGAGGCGCATGATTATGAAATTTCCGTGCATTATATAGGATGGCGAAATTGGCATGGTTCAACTTAAGCAAATGCTTCAGCGCTCTAGCTGGCTTCTCCTGTGCATTCTCAAGGTCATACACCTTAACCGACGGGATGTCGATCACCTGTTTCTGGAATGAAAAGAGCTTGAATGACTTTAGCGAGGGAATGGGAAGCTGAAACATTTTGGCGGTGCGATAGTTCGGCCTCGCGTTGTCCAACGTATGGTGGGGAAGTTCGTAATGACCCGAAGCTCACGGTGCGTCCCACTAGCGATGTGTTCAAGTTGTTGCCACACAGACAAACACGCACAGCAATTTATGGGCAATGTCACTCTCAAACAGTTGTCTCTCGTTCTGACTTGTGTCGAGATCAGCCCATCACAATCTCAACGGAGGTTCGGATCCGCTGTGGCAGTGGATTGTTGGGAATGGCCGCCTGAGGCAGAAAGTGTACATGACGTAATGTACAACCGCGTCTATCACGTGTGAAGTATACAAGAGGAAATAATTAGGAGAATACATCACAAAGACAAATATCCATGAAGTACATGTATGTATATACTATATAGTATATACTTCTTCTCAATTTAGTAAAACACTATTCGAAGCTAATCTACACTGCTTATTTTTCACCGTAGTGTTCAATGGCCGGAATTGGCTGTTCAGAGTGGCCAACTTGTCCGGCAAGCACCTCAACCTCAATACGGGGACCAACATAATTTTTGCGGCCATCAGCAAACCAAGTGGCTGTGGAGAGAATTATCACAATGCCAAATGCGGCGACACAGTAGTCTATGGATAATTAGCTTTAGTTCATTGGTTCTTCGACACTTTGGTAGACACATACTCATGCTGCTGCCGGTGGCGGGGAGCTCGGGAGGGAAGAGGAAAAGAACAGTAGTCAGAGAAATATAGATCAGGGAGATCTGTCACAAAATATCAGCAATGCACAGCAGTTTCCAAAGGTGTATGATCTTACGATGTTGAGCACCCAGCCGACGATGACAGGGAGGACGAAGGGTCGCTCCGGGAGCATGTTGCGTCCTCGGATACAGTTGATCGCAATGGGCATTCCGTAGGCTAGGTCCAGCCACACGACGGAGGCTGAAACGATAGCGTTGAAGGCGCTGCTCACATTAGTAATTGAGTACCAATTTTCGATGGGAACGTAGGGCTTAGCTCACCTAGAAGATCCCAGGAAGATCAGGCCGAATATAATGACAAGGCCCAGGTTGAGATACAAGGAGTGTAGCGGGACCTTCAGTTTGGGGTGGACCTTGGAGAAGAAGCGGGAGAAGGGGAGGCCGCCGTCACTAGCCATCTGTTAGAATAACGTAGTCCCGAGGGTAGCGGGAAACATACCGTGCAAAGGCGTAGCACATACGACTGCTAGTAGTCATAATAGCAGTTGTGGTGAACAGCATGCAAACCAGAGGGAAGCTGTATTCAATTAGTATCAACTTCTCAACCGCAAAAATATGTTTGCTCTTACACGAGAAGACAGATGGCACCCGCATTGCTCTGGGTGGCGTTCTTCAAAATAGCCAAAAGAGGGCCAGCTGAAGACGAGATAATGCTTTCGATGTCGCCAGCCACGAAAAGCAAAACCATCAGGAAGATAAATCCAGTAACAGTTCCAATGGCCACGCATGCAATCATAATTTTAGGCCCTTCCACAGAGGGGTTAGGGATTTCTATCATCTGTTAGCGCTGTCATTTTGATATGTCAATCGCGGCACTGTGGTAGTACCTTCAATCATATGGGCGACACCATCCTAAGATTCGATTAGCTTTGATCGGATGATAATGCAGAAGTCAAGGGCTAAACTTACAAATCCAGTGACACCGAGGCCACCTTGCAACAACTATTGACTGGTTAGAAAATGTTAAAAGAGGCCTGAATCAATGAACATACACCCAGGAGCCAAGCAACTCCATCGGGCCATCCCGTCTCGTTGATGAATTTGCGGAAGACGAATCTGCAGTCGTCAGCTAAAGTTACCCCATAAAGCGTATTGTCAATAACATACTCTGCGCTATTGTAGTCGGGCGAAGAACAGGAGAGAATAGTGATGCAAATAATAGTAAAACCGCTCAGTGACCACGTAACTGGATATCTTGTTAGTAAAATGAGACAACAGGGTTTATATAGAGAATCACTCACAGGCAGCTTTGTTGAAATAGGGCAGGAGACTGTTTGCAAGGGCGTTGATGCAGAATCCAGCAATGTTATAACCGATATAGATGAGGAACTGGTGCCAGCGCTCTGCCTCGTATCCCTTTTTCCGGTATTAGATTGCATCTCGCTGATAGAACTCGGGATATAAACATACCGGGTTCATGAGAGCGATGACGCCCACAACCAATTGACTACCCAGCAATCCACCGGTCGCGGTCAAGGCCACCCAACCGGCGCAGTTCACCCAGCCGGTGATCCACGAGAGTAGGGGCATCCATTTCTGAGGGGAGACTGCGGGAAGGTTAGCAAATTTCTGCATGGTCCGGTGCCAGTTACAGGGATACATACTAACAGCAACCCAATGGTATTGTCCAGCAGCACTGATCTCGTTAGCTTCGCTCTATCTTTTGAATGGGGAGATTTGCCACTCACGTCGGGTACGCAGAAAGAAACTCGGCCAGGGAGGCGGCCATGCACAAATTACAGATACCTGCCGTAAGGAGACCTGGTGAATATTGTCAGCATGAGATTCAAGTCAATGCACTGAAATCCAATGAGACACACCCCAGATAACACTTGTCGGACCTCCGGAGGTCAAACTCAGGGATAAACTTGTAGACAACGCAGTCCATGACTATCACGAAATTCCGTCAATAAAAGTCCTGTCTGATGTATGGCTTGATCACATCAGTTTCCTTCTTCCCTGTGAAGAACGTACATTAAGAATAGCGAATGCCAAACCCAGCATCGATCTATACAAGAGTTCACATTAGCCTAGTGGTCGGGCCCTCGGCTGAAAAAGCAAAGCGAGATCAAACATACAACAAGGAAAACTGCCGTTTCAACTCTGACTTGTGGCCCATCTGGGCCAGCTGGGCATCATCATCATGATACGCCTTTAGTTCTGCGGGATCGAGGTCTGCCATAGTGAAGGGTATGGGGAGGTATGGAGGATAGAAAACGGCAAGGAGTAAGATCAAAAGACACGGGGGATACTCGCCATGAAAAAGTCGACCCAGCCCAGTCAGCCATGACGACAAGCCTTGAATAGCACCTGCCCTCTCCGACTTCTCCACGCCCACACTCACAATCGCGGGGACAAAGCCCTCCGCTACGACCAACCCAATCTGTCAGTAGCGTTAGGTAATAGTTTTGGGGTAACCGGTCGGCGGTCTTTCGAGGCGGCGATAGAGTGCCGTGTCTCTGATTGGTCCATTGTTCCGAACTCGGTGGCTTCAACCAATCAACACTCACACGGCGCCACCTTGGCTATCAGGGCTTGATTTCGCCTTCCGCCGCGCCCCAGAGCTTATCCCAAATTCTCCGCAGTCATTGGATATCTCCCAATATCATCATCCCCACCCACCCGCGGGGGCCCTGGCCATCTCGGGGTAAGTTGTCCGGTTTGTGTCCTGCATGCCGAACAGACTGGAGAAAAAATGACTCTAGCATCAATTTCTCCATATTCTCTGGAAAACCCGGGGAAAAAGAGGCCAAACCGCATGACCCCAACCAAGTACCGAACGATTACTCCAGATTCTTTCCAAGGGTCGGTACCATCAATATCGCTCTCGCCACTCGGTCTGCCCGTTCCGAATATGGAGGTTGCTCCTATCTTTACGGGGAACTGGGTCACGGTGGAGTGAGTAGTGGAACCATGCCGGTGTCGCTATCTCATCGCATCTCACCAAATCCGCATAGGTAACAGTGAATGATAATCAGTTAGCCCGCGTCCCTCACCTAACAAAAACAACTCTTGGCCCTGCAACACGCAAACACACCGGAGTACCAGCGCGGCTCGGATTGACTAGCGCGGCCCGAAAAAAGGACCCCGGGGGATGAAACGAGTTGATGGTTCCTAGTCCCACACTGACTACAAGAATTGAGTTCGGATTGCGCAGCTACGTGCCCGACAATCTCAACCTCTGCCCTATCGGAAGGGTAGGACCCTACGCTAGATATTGCAGCTCGGGAGCTATCCGTCGGAACCACGGCGTGCGCGTGTCGAGCTAACAGGACCGCGCTGATCGGCACCTTCTGGAAGCTTTCTTCGAGCCTAGTACTACTCTGACTGAGGAATAGGCAGTGATTTGGCAGTGTATAAAAACGCAGCAATGAACGGGCCAGTTATATTTAACCACGCATGAAAAAGAAGAAAAGAGCAGACCAAACTTGACATCCCATCCCGCAAACATGGTATAATGTCTTTTCCGATGTTTTTTCGCTTCGCATCGCACCCCGGAATCCTAATCCCACGCGTGGGGAGTGAGTTGGGGTCGCCAAGCGCGAGCTCCGGCCCAACTACAAAGTACCGAGGCCATGCAAATATCGTACGGTCTTAAATGCTCCATATTTATCCGACGTCTCCTGGGCTACACATTCGGGGACCATCTGGGGACAAGTTAAATCGGTCGAGAAAGTGGATCGAAACCAATTGACTTGAGTCATTGGAAACTGGAGAATTCCGAAATTTCCCTTTCCTACGGAATACTCCCACGGGGTACTTATACGCTAGTAGTAGTACTTCCTAGTACTATTTATGTATTCCGACCAGTCTGGTCTGAAGATCAATCAAAAGAGCATGTTCTCGTCTGGCAGTAACGGGTATAAAGAAAGCAGCTAGGCCTGGATATATTAATACAAGAAAAGAAAGGAAAATCGCCATGCCTACAACGGAATGAACGAGAACGAGAGTTCTTAAAGGATGGACAGGACACCCATGACCATCGCACTAACAAGCACGACGGGCCCGCTGGCGAGCATACCGGCGCCATTGCCATCACCCTTGCCGCTAGCACTGGCAGTCTTGGTGATGACTATAGTCCCATCGCTAGTGGAAGACGGCGATCCACTGGTCGTGCTGGAAGCATTGCTCTTCGCAGTTGATTGTGTTGCGAGTGTCATTTGATCAAAAGTGATCAGGTTGGCAATCAAGACAGCGGTCGCGCTGATCTGGTTCTCTATGCCAAGTTTCCCATCGTACTTTGAGCTAGACCACGTGCTGCCGCAAAGATCATCGTCCTTACCACCAGTGCAGGACTTTGCTGCCGCAACAGCGGAGCCCTGCAGCAAGGGCAAGATATCGGATTCGGTGTATGGCGCGACCTGGGCGATGAAGGCTAGTTCTTGCGCGAAGAGACCTTTAAAAAGCAATTCGTAATCGTTGCATTGCTCAGACGGTTCGCATGTGACTTCAGACAAGATCTTTCCACCATATTTCGTAGGGAAGAACTGCTTCTGGGATGTTTTGAGGAGACCAGTCAGGCCATCCTTCCACTTGCTCTTTCCCTCGGTCTGGGTCGCCGTGGTTAGCTATCAGTCTTCATCGAAGTTCAAGACTGCAAACAACTTACCTGGTTATACATATAGGCAGCTCCGGACATGTACAAGCCATAATTGAAACTCCACTGTATATTACCAGCCTCATTGCAGTCATCTTCGCACGAGGTCGAATCGGCAATTTTCCAGGACTTCTCGTTAAGAAGGGGCACCTTCGCGCTCCAATCCCAGATCTTCTCTGCCCAGTCCGCATACGTCTGGTTATTCGTGAACCGAGCCAGTCGTGCCGAAAGAGCGAACAGTCCACCATTGGAAATCGCATTCTTCATAGTATAACCAGACTGGTACGTATAGATCTGCCACCGCAGACCCCCATCGCAGTTATCCGTATCCCACCGGGCGGCGACAGTATCCCAAACATTCGCCGCGAGTGACTCCCAAGACGGCATCGATGATTCCTGGGGATAATCCAGCTCTGCGGCGGTCATCGCAGCAAGGCCCCAGCTGAGCTGGTCGTCGTTACCCAGGAACGAACTGAAGTTGCTGGGCATGTAATTGTCATCGGACCCGCGCTGCCAATACATTCCCTCGCTCACGACGTCGTTGTTAGAGTCATCTCCAGTCAAAGACCAGTATTGCATCATGACGCCGAAAAGCACACTCCCTTCCCACCAGGCCGGGAACACGTAGCCGGGGATATCGGACGACCGGTTCGAGTAAAAGGCCATCGCGCCCGACGCGGCAGTTTTGGCGGCATCTTTGATTGATTCTATGAGGCCGGCATTGAGTTAGTCCTCGAGGACTTCTGCGCTGTTCGGGCTAGAGTCGGACGCGACGCAGATCTGCAGAACTCACGCTCATCTTTGATATTCAAATCGATTGCTGCCGCAGAGCTAGCCAGCAATGACACGGCCAGGGCCGTCTTCAAATTGTGTCCTAACATGGTGCGAGTTGGACTTCCACCGGATACGGCGGGTGAAAGATTTTCGTGTTTACGGGAAAGGAAAGAGGCATTGGGGGCCAAGCTACATTTCTATATCTAAACGCGATCCGGCGTACCTGAACGGACTCGCTTAGTGCCAGGTTTTAAGGGGGCCAGAGCCTTTGTAGCGGGGTCCTTTGGAGGCTAAGGCTGTTGGTACAAATCAAATCCAATCCTTGGACCCTGAGACGACGGCGTTGAGGCTCTTCTGGTACTAAAACAGGACTAAAACAGGACTATTGAGGGTGAACGAGTAGAAATGGTGGATCTCTCGGCTCATCTCGCTTCGGTTCAGGAGTGTGGAGCGGTCCTGGCGGGCATGAAGGATGCTAATTGGTTAGGTTTAACATGGCCCCGATTTTTGTACTGAGATTATCAATTCATTTGGCCTCTTGAAATCAATGGAAGAACTGGGGGAAATGCTTGTTCGAGGTTTTGCAGAGCATATGGTTTTGTAAAGTCGGCACTAAAGTTGTGAATTGAGCTTACTGGCTGGGCAATGTTGATGGCTTTGCAGTAAACCATAGGACTCGATACTGACTTTTGAGGCCCGCTTCAAACAATCCTCACTTCACGGCTACATCGTTACTTCTTAGATAGGCCACCATGATTATCTAGTCTGGCTGCTCCTTCAGCTTTTCATTTGGGAATCATGTGATATACTCTTATGTGAATTTATAGAGCGAGTTCCCGTTGCTTGGCGGGAACATGCTGCGTCCTGATCAACCGGGCCCAGACCTCGTTTTCTTGAGACTACAGACTTTCAAAGTTAAGTATATCGGCGGGAAATCTTTGATATGCCTTCGTATGAAAAGTGGTCTACATATCGAGTGGTGTATCGGTGGACCATACACCCTCCCTGTAACTAGGCATGCAATGAAACAGACGGAGCGGCGAAGCGCAGAGACCACCATCTCGCTAGAGCACTTAACAGTGTCCATCTACACGATCGACAGTGCTAGATCCGAGATACAAGAAACAATGAATTAACTTTACGAATAAGAAAGAGAAGGACTAGCATTAATCTGCGGGGCTTGTTGACCTCAGGACTACCTAATATCCCAAATACAAAGCCAACTTTACTGCACGATACAATCTACGAATCTACTCAACTCTTGGAAAGTATTAACACATAGACCGGCCTGCCTGGATTGTGCTATCTGCGACAATAAAGTAGAGAAGAATAAAATCGTAGACACCTCCACTCCATTCCACGAAGAAAAAGTCCCAGTCTCCCTCCTCCGATTTCCCCGATTTTGCTTTCCGTCTTCTTCCCAGGGTAAGACTCAAGTCCCCTTCCCACACCTGATACCATCGTCGAAAATGCATAACAATCGAATAGAGACGAACAAGAAGCACGTTCCCACCATCCACCAACTCGTTCATTAGAAGGGAATGAGGTTGGGCTGGATTTTCATAGTGTATTTTTCCCATTGGGTTTTTTTGAAACTTCATTTCTTTTTTGTCATGTGTCTCTGTCATGAGGAAAACAGCGACAATGTGAGAAAATAGAAGAACACTGAATCAGACACCTCCATTCCGACCTCCCCAAGCAAAAGGGAACTTGAACTCCGGATGCAAAAGAAGCACGAAAGAAGGAGAGTGAGAAGATGAAGATAAAAAGCATAGCTCATAATGATCGTTGGGATATGGCATTGCCCGGGAACTAGCACACAAACACAAGCACACAGGAAATATGTTTCGAAACTGAGCAAGTTGCGAGCACGCACGCAAGCAGAGGGAAAATTGTCGGAGCACGCAAAGTTTCTACGACCATGGTACGCCAGGCTTCGCGGGTTTGAATCTAACGGCGAGAAGAAACATGAAAAGAAAGATGCAGGGGCGTCGGAGAGAGAAGGAGAACCGAGAGGTCACGCGGAAGAGAGAAGAGGGTGGTTGGCAGATTTGTTGGAAAATTGCCGATCAGATGGCGTACTTGCGAGTCCACTCACGAGCCGTCGCTTCGTACCGCGGGCGGTCGGTCTTGTAGACGTGGGCGATCTCGGGCACGAGAGGGTCGTCCGGGTTGGGGTCTGTGAGCATGGAGCAGATCGAAAGCAAAACTAGAAGCAATGAGTCAGCGACGACCCATATTGACATGACACGGCGTTGAAGGACATATGTTCTTTGCCGTGTCGAAAATTGTAACGAACCTTTCGAAATGGTGAGGGCGGGGCTCCATTGGTCCCTCAGAATGTCCAGACAGATACTGCCGTTCGAGTTGATGTTGGGGTGATAGATGCGGGTGGTGAAGTGAACCTTGGGAGGCTTGAATGGGTAGTCGGTAGGGAAGTTAATCGTGAGGAAGAAGACACCTCCAGAGTATGGCGAGTCACCCTAATGTAAGAGATGGGTTAGTATTCAGGTACACCTTGGGCTCTGTCCGACTGTATCATGCAAGGAGGGGAAGCGGATTTCGCCCCACGGTCGCGCGGAGTTTGAATATGGGGATCAACTTACAGGACCCATGATCGTAGCTTGCCAGTGGAACTAGAAGAAAAAGAAAGAAAACATCGGTCAGTATCATTCCTTGACATCCCACTATTATTTGGCGATCTGCGGGAGGGGCTGGTGAGCCTCAGCCCCGCCACACGATAAGGCTCTTCGCAAATACAAAGCCGACCGGCAACGGGACTTGAGGAATAGAGGTTGGAGGAAGAGAGGGTTGTATATACCAGATCGTCTCCGACGGGACCGGCGGAGCAGGAAGACGGAGGATCCCTGCGGCGAAGAGGTTAGCATCACCAGTTGTTCCAGAGGGAGAAAGTGGTCGTCTTACCGGCCCAGATCAGTGAGTTCCTTGTTAATGCGCTTGAGAGCCATGACGACGAGTGAGAGAAGTAAGGTGGAGAGAGGGAGAGACTGAATGAGAGTTAGAGAAAGATCGAAGTTTATGGAGATGTTGTACGTACGGTTACGTCGTTGTGTGGAAAAGAAGAAGAGAGAAGAAGAAAGAGGGGGCAACCACACTGTGAGAGTGAGAGAAAGTGGGCTGGGCGGGCAGGTGCGTCTGACTGGTAATCCGCAGGTCAGAGTATTGGTAATACACGCCACCGGTGTATTGTGTACTGATTAATCAGGTTTGGAAGAAGTAGGGCTGGTATTATTTGTATTGTTCGATTGTTCCTGATCGGAGAGAATATCTACTGGTACTGTAGTATTGATCTTGTTCCCATTATTAATTATTTTACATGGCAACTACCTAGGTATATACAAACACTTCTGTAACAGGTAGTGGTGGTCTCTATTCAAAGAAAAAAACTCTAGCGATTCACTCTTAATCGCGCCCCTCTATTATGTCACGTGTGGGCGAGGCGCCCCAATGGGGCAGACAGCCCTCCGGTTTTCTTCGGGAAAATGCGTTGTCAAGGTGTATTGTGAGATACATACACAGGTATCACGTATCTAATGATGTATACTACAGTAATTTTATATATAACGAGGCAGAAAGGGGTTATTCTAGACAAAGGCCTGCTTTCCGGTAATGGCTCGGCCCAGAATCAGCGCTATAAAAATGGTTAGTGCATCTACCCGAAAGAAAAAGCAAATAAAACAAAGCGGAAAAATAAGGTAAGGCAGATTGGGCACGTAAATATGTACTATGTACTTCGTACTCACCATGAATGTCACTTTGGCCCTCGTAGGTCTGCACCACAAACAAGTTGGCTACATGACGTCCGATGTGGTACTCGTCACTAGCAGCGTTACCGCCGAAGATTTCCTGCAGACTGTAGATATAAATAGTCAGTCTCGAGTTGAAAAAAGGCGGTGCAAAGGGGGGGGGTTGTCAAAGAAAGGGAAAAAGAAGAAAACATACATCCGCGAGTTGACTAGCGCTCGGTCGCAGTTTTGACGCTTGATCATCGAGATCATCTCGGGGGTGGCCTTGCCAGCATCCTTAAGGCGAGCCACTTGCACAGCAGCCAGAGTTCCGTATGCGGCATCAGTCGCCGCATCAGCCAACTTCTTCTGAACCAGCTGATATTTTGCCAGAGGATTTCCCTTGAACTGCTTGCGCTCCAGACTATAATCACGAGCACGAGCCAGGCAGTCTTCCAACGCACCCATGGCACCAAAAGCGATACCCAAGCGCGCGCTATTCAAGCAAGTGAACGGACCAGTCAGACCCTCGACATCGGGGAACATATTCTCAGCAGGAACAGGGCAGTCATCCATCTGGATCATTCCCGTAATCGAAGCGCGGAGTGCACTCTTGTTCTTAATAGCAGGAGTCTCGAATGTACCCGGCGGGCATCGCGAGCGCTCAACAACGAATCCACGAATCTTGCCCGTCGACTCGAGCTTAGCCCAGACCAGCGCAAGGTCTGAAATGGGCGAGTTGGTGATCCACGTCTTGCTGCCGCTCAAGAGGTACATGCCCTTTTGAGTTGGGTGCTCGCGGGCCACGGTCTCCATGGAGCCTGGGTCGGAGCCATGATTTGGCTCCGTCAAGCCAAAGCAACCGGCTAGTTGGCCCTTGGCCAGACCGGGCAGGAATCGCTGCTTCTGCTCCTCAGTGCCGAATTCGTAGATTCCTGTCATCGCCAGTGAGCTCTGCACTGACATGCCTGATCGGTATCCAGAGTCAACGCGCTCCACCTCCTTAGTGATCAAGCCTGAGGCGACGGTGCTAACTCCGGCACAGCCGTATCCCTCGATCGAGGCGCCCAGCAGGCCCAGCTCTCCCATCTCGTAGAGGATCTTGCGATCGTAGTCCTCATTGCGGTAGGCCTCTTTAAGGTTAAGGTTCGGTTAGTCCATCAAGACATAATTTAACAGGAATCTGGAGAACGGGGGAAAGAGAAAAAGACACGTACCAAGTACACGCGGCTGCAATTTCTCTTGGCAGTACTGTCGCGCTGTGTCCTGAATAGCCAATTCTTCTTCCGTGTAGAGTTCCGCAGCGGCGAGGGGATCTTCCCAGTTAAAGACCGCCGAGGAAGCATAACGCCGACCAGCGA